TTTTGTTTTTTATTTCTACACAATGGCTTCCGCTGGACCCCCCACCACCCCCGAGAAGCCCTGAACTACCTGGCCCAAGCCGCCCCAAGCCCAAGAAGGTGCGACGTGCCTTAAGCTATGAGGTAAAGTACATGCTAAATTTTGGGACCCTTGTGACAGATTTGCCACTCCTTCCGAGTTGCCGCGCCTTGGTATAAAAGGTTGTTGGCATCTCTGCAGTTCGCTCCATCCATGTGGATGTTCCCCTGAGCGTACCTCCTCACTAACTGCGCGTGTTTATAAATTTTTTCAGTTAAACAATGATTTGTGATATATGTAGCCTTTACAAACTGTAGGTAATTGTCTATTGTGCTATATGTTTGGTATTATTTGCTTCCGTTTGCTACAAAACAAAGAAATGATAGATAGGCTTCATTAGAATACAACTTTTGTCCTTGACTTCGACCGTTCGTAATACGTACATATTTTAACATTTTTAACATCCTCTTTGAAGTGCTAATGCCTTGAAATCATTTGCATTTTTATGTTCGTAATTTTTAACATTATCATTGAGAAGAACAGGTCTAATTATAAATTGTGAACATATTAGTATGATAAATACAGAGGTAAACAAACACTTTTTATGGACCAATCAGCTACATTTTAGTGTAGAAAGGGGCCGTGGCTTTTGGGCCAAGGTAGTTAAAGTGAGTATACTAATACTGATGACACAACTACTAATACAGATGACACTATTACCACTAATACTACTGTACTATCAGGTTTACAATATCTACATTAACATAACCATTCTACTGTTACATCTACCAATACAAACATACAGAAACCATATTTATTTTTCAACTAAAATGGGTAGAACTGATGCAACAACCCTAACTAGAATGAGCAAAGTGGTGTGTACAGTACAAATAAATAAAATTCATAAATCCAGTCATCTTCAACTTATGCTGAGCTAGATAAAATTAATCATAACTTTTGCACTGCTTGATTGCCTCATATCTAATTTAATTTTCTCAAGTTAAAGTATTCACAGACTTGTCTCCATTCACCTTTTTATGTCAATACAAAAAACTACATTGTGTACAGTCTCTTGTACAAGCATCCTCCAGTGACATATTCCTACTCTATTTCAAAATAATTTACTGACTACCTCCTCTTACTGATTACACTTTTTACCTTACATTTAATGACAGTAAATCATTTCATTATTCAACCATGCCTATGTTCTCCTGAGATAGTATTTCATCCTTGGCTCTCTAAGGACCTCTTCATTCAACAAACTTACTGGAATTTCAGGAACGCCAAGTTATTTACTTTTACTCCGATTCTGTTCTTATTACTGACTTATTTGAACTAATAAACTTACAATATTACTTTCCATATAAACCATTTGTTACAAACAACCTTCTGGCATATTTCACACTGAACTTTTACCCTTTTGCAAATGCTTGTAGGTAACCTCCAACTCTTTTTCTTGTGAAAATTTATTTTGTTATAATAAACTATCATTAAACTAGACTTACTAAGGGAAAGCAAATCCATATTTTATGAATTATCGGCTGGTTTAATTTACAGAGAAACCTGGCTCCTCATGCTATTTCTGAATTTCATCTACACAACTGACAAAATATGAACCTAAATTTAGGGCCTACTGGATCCCTTGACTTAATAATATACAAAGACTGAGTTTTAATCTCAATGGTCAATATGTTTGAGGCCCATTAAGACATGAGGCTTAATGGGACCTTATGGGTCCTAAGTCATAATGGGCACAAGTGGATTCTAAGTCTTAAAGGACACAAATAGACCCCAAGGAACAGTGGCCTCAAACTCAATAGCTCATTCTAATCAATTAAATCATTATATGGAAGATTCTAAAAAATTAAAGGAACTGTTACAGTGGGCCCAGTTTATCAAGACTTCCAGTCTAGTGAATTCCAGTTTATAGAGGGTTTAGTGTCAACAGTGTTAACATAGACCTCAAATATCTACAATCATTTGCCAATTAATTCCCCTCCATTCAAAATAATAAAACCCTGATATTGCTTTTCTTAAGTTTTCAGTTTTGTTTCTGCTTATTTCTACTGTCAACATTTTCCTTCCATGTACTTCATCAATTCAACTCGCTCTTTTACTTAACTCAGTACATTATATGATTCAGCAAATATATCAGCAACTGTAGCAACTATACCAATATACTGTCATCCTCTTCACTAATGGTGCTTGACTAGTACTAGTTTCACTACTAATAATAATTATTACTTTCTACTAACTATAACTACTCCTAATACTGTATTATTTTTTATACTGCTTCTACAAAATATAACCCTGTTACAGTACTATTATTATGGCTTGTCATTCGTTTTACTACTACAGCTACTATATTGCTACTGTTAATACTACATATTACTATCAGACAACAACTACATCTACAACACACAACTACAATTGTGACTGCTAATAATATTGTTAAATGTAGTGCTTATCGTACAATTATACTTTCTTTACGTATTTTAATATTTGCATTATCATGACTTCTTTGTCCATTTTTCATGCTGGATTGGGTTAGCAGATTGATAAACAACCACTACCATTTGTTTACACTGTAAATATATAAATGATTAATTTTCCCACTGTACTTCTATGGATTGACCAAGATAATTGTTTTTGTTACTATATACAGTTTACAGTACCTCATCTACAGTTGTAATAACCAGCATATCTGATCATTTAATAACATTACTGATAATTAGCCTTTTAACAGCATTGCTAACAATTCAAATAATTTATTAGAAAGTGAAGAACTGATCCTGAAATGCTCTTTCTGGTGGAGCCTGAAGCCAGACATCTTTTATAAGTAATATCTCCATTAGCCAGAATCCTTTAAACCTCTCCAATAGCTGGAATTGAAATTTTCTCAGAAAATCGTTCCCAAAGCCGTAATTTTCCGGCTTTGGGAATGATTTTCTAAGGGGCACATTTTCTGGAAAATTCCAAGAAAATATTCACGGTACCCGGAAAATTCCGAGGATGGGGGAGTTTCTTCCGGGTTTGAAAGTGCTCTGCACCAACTGTTCCGGCTAACGAAGATATCACTTGTATAGTGCAACTTATTAGGGTGTTCAGGAGTCCCTTACGCTGGGCTGCCTACCATCAACCATGGTCAATCTTTGTGAATCTTATTTAGATTCACAAAAGTTTGTAGATGGCAAAGCAGTTGCATTGGTATGGTAACTGATTATTGGGCAGGTACAACTCTAAAACATGACCATTCACTACAGTAGGAAAAAAATGCATGTAAAGGGAGAATATCTGTGCTGCCTGGCTTCAGACTCCATCATAAAGTGGAATATCAGGGTTAACCCCCACTCGTACCTATAACCAAAGCCAGGTGGCTCTAATAATTCAAAGCCAGCTTAAACAAGAGTGTGATGGTAAAAAAAAGCCCCAGAAATAGACACCTAATTGACATCTACAAGAGGTGACTTGTTGTATTCATCAGGTTTGTTGGCTCATCTCCATAACTCTCATACTGAATAATAAGCCTGGTTTTATCCTGGCCCCTCAGGGATACAATAACCCAATGGAATCCAAAGCCTTAATAAACAATGGCTCCCTTACAAAATTTCAAAAATAAAAATGGATTACGGCTCTTAAATTAAGATATCTTTTTTTTTTACTTTTGGAGCGATTTGCTTCAAACAAGTATGACAAACTCTGACTTTACAGATCTTTAGTCAGCCTTTTTACTACTGGTTACGCCACATCTGAATACTATTGTATCAATACTGTACCAATTACCTAGAAAGTCCAGTTACCTGTTTTATTCACAATAGGAATACCTATGGTACTTCACAAACATATCAGTTTATGAGTTGGCCATCAGACAGCATCATTGTTTGCTTTGATCTAGTTGCGACAATCAAACTGGTACAAAAGTTGCCTCCAGCTTTGTCTCTGGATTATATTTGTGAAGATTGGTTCATTCATTTCACAATGATAGACAAAAACACTCTAATAGGTTCAACAAGTTCCTAGACAGGTGCCAAAAGAGAAGAGATAGCAGGAGGTGCTCAGTACTGAACCAAAAGTAGACATCATAAGATGGATCAAGTATCATATGCCTGGACTTATTGAATTTACTATTAGAAAATAAACTTTGATTGATATTCTCTGATTAGTAGTGTACTCTAACTCAAATAAATGATGTACAAAGTCCAGAAGAGGTCCTGCTACATCTTTTTATAGGAGTACTGGATAAGCTATTAAAACCGTAGGCTATTTTCTTCCAGTAAAATTATTATTATTATTTTTTTATACACAACTATTGTGTACTTGGGGAACATTCTTTTAGCTGGACTTTTTATTTATTTTTTTATTTGGACACTTCTGCACATATTATATTGTTGACTGTATTAATGCGTTTAAACACACTCTTCTACAAATAGCCAATAATTAAGAATTATTCATCTACTACTGAAAAAGAAAGTACAATGCATTTCACACATGTACATAAAAACACCACAACTTTATTTTTCCAACAAAAGATCAAGAAGGTGGAAAAGTTGAGTGTTATCTGTATATGATCAATAGCAATGTAATCATAGCAGAAACCACTTATGCTATACCATTACAAGAATATTGCTTGTAAAAAGAACACTATATTGTGAATTAGAAAATCTTCTTATTAGCCATATCAATTAGTATCACACAACTAACAATGAAAGTTCTTCAGTCATGCAAATATATCATGAACAATATTAATAAGGCTTACATGTCAGCCAAAGCAAAGGAAAAAATTGCAATATGAGGTATAGATGTGAAGTAAGTCACATTCAACACTCTTACTCTGTCCTCTAAATTCCTATGAGATATGTAAAACTCAGCCTTGTGTATCAGTATGTCAACATAAAAAAGCAACTACAGACTATACACTTACATTAAAAAGGCATTAAAATAAAAGAGAATGGCCGAGTGTGGGTAGAGGACGCGTTACTTACGGGCATGTTATTCTCTTCGTCCACGATGTTGTAGTTATTAATTGAGTTGTCATTTTTAGTGTTATCTGGAATGGGGCAGACACACAAACATTCAGAAATAAAAGAGACTCCACTAAGACAACGAACAAAAACAGAGAAGAAAGTACAGTGTTCATAAGGCCATAAATCTGTAAGTACGTACACCAATACTACAGCTTTTCAAATTCACAATGATAAATTGAAAATATCAATAGCCATTTAACATTCCACATGGTTGTCAAGAGAGGGACAAATCTGCTTTTAGTAATGTTATCAAACATATTTGACAAAAAATAAAACTTCCTACCCAAAAATCAATTAACCTACAAATCATAACTGGTCTCAATAAAATATCTTGAAGATACAGTAAAATTACTGTGTGAATAAAGTGCTATTGCTAATACAGCACCACAATAAACTCTCTTGGTGAACAAGGTTAGAAAATATTTTTGTGTGCAAGCAGTACTTTCTCACCCACATGACACAGGGATAAAGGTATAGTTATATGTGAAACAGTTGAGGCAACCACCGTAGTAAGGGCACAAGCGCCACCGAGCCTGAAATCGAGTTACCACCACAGCAAGTTTCATTAAGGTTTCCTCTATCACAAAATGTGTCATATGTGGATGACCCAGCACCTGTTGTGAGTGAAGGCAAGTCGTATGACCAAAAAATTACTAGCAGCAAAGCAGGTAGGCCCCCCCATGTGCCGATGGGTGTTTCACGAGTCGCCTTTTTCTCTATTTTTAAATAATGTTACTTGTGCCCTTACTACTGCAGTGGCCTCAGTTGTTGACACAGGATCCATGGAAGATTTGAGCCAGGGAGCCAAAGCCTACTCAGTCAACATTGTACTTTGAAATCCAAGGCAGAGGTTTTTAATAGAAAGCTGTTGACATTCAACCCCATCAAGAGGGAGTGAGGGATACCAGGTCACTCAGAGATTTCCTACATTAATCCTTCATTTGTGATTTCCAGATGGAGGAGGATTTTCTTCAATCAAGTCTACTGCATGCACCTAAATAAAGAAATACACTTCTAAAAAGAAAGGATTCACATGTTTACTTCCTCTAGCCATAGAATCTAGGATATGTAGCTATGCATAAGAACTCTTTAAATAAAGATTTGGCTGTGTATCATCCTATCTACCGAAAAGGATTTCAAAGACGTTCCTGCTAATAAAGCCTCTGATGAGACACAAGTCTTAAATCATGTTCTCTAAGTTTGGAGGGAATTGAGATAAAAACTTCTTCTGGGTTTTAGCTTAAAAGATTGAAGTAGGAACTCTTTTTGGATATACAATATTCAAATACAATTCAGTTGCCAAACAGGATAAAGATTCTAACGTTTATCGTTAATCGTCCAAGCTTATACAGTACAGTGAACCCTCACTTTACGCAGTCAATTGAACCCACGGCAGCCCGCGTAAAGTGAGAAACGCGTAAAGTGAACAACATAACATATGGGATTAATTGAAATAGAGACCGGGCCGACCCCCCAAACTCCACTTTTTCTCACACAATACCTACGTTGTAGTAAAAATAACTTCTTAATTTTATGATGGTATGCACACACAATTAATAATTAAGAGAAATATCAATAATATTAGGTTTTTTAACACTTACATTAGTAGAAAAGATGGCTGGGCACACGGGGATGGGGGGGTTGGTTCCGAGGCAGAGGGCAGATTATTGGCCCTCACCTGTATCACTTGTATCAATTGTATCACTATCCACCACAGAGGCTTGCAGGGCCTCTTTGTCAAACCTCTCAAAGTCCATATAAGTCCATATCCTCACTGTCATTATCACTATCACTGACTTGGGCCGGCTGTGGTGGGTGGCGGGTGAAGAACTTGGTAATGTTTTGATGACTGGGCGACCTTGTGCGCACCCTGCTCGCGCCACTCTCCGCATAAAAGGGTACACACACCGCGGAAAGTGAGCATTACGTGTTCGGCAGGGTACCGTGGAAACGCGTTAAGTGGGACCGCGTAAAGCGAGGGTTGACTGTAATTACATTTCGTTCTAAATTTAAGTTTCTTTCTTTATAATGAATCGGAAGACTTAATTTGGCACAATTTAAAGAATGATGGAATTTAAAAAAATCAAGAATTCTTTTAACACACAGTTGGTCTGAATCGGGGATATTGGTTGGCCAGGATTTTTTTTCTTTTTCACCGAAGCAATTTTTCCTACTGCAAAGGAACATTTATGGTATTTCAACAATGTCTATACTGTATATGCAAAATCATATAAGGAATCACATGAGCAAATAAAAAAACATGAAAAATAAATAAATAAATGTATGTATTGGCAAGTGTAAGTTGAAATTCATCATTACCGTATATCACGGCCTATAAGACGAAATTTGAACATTAAAAAAATCTGCCCAAAGTTAGGGGGTCGTCTAAACCACCAAGTTTAAAATTCTTACCTCTTAAATATTGTGGTTTAGTGTGTCAAGAGTGGTGATGAAAACATCGTAAGCCACTCACAAGGTCTTACCACTAATTATTTTATACTGAAACTTACGTTTGGCAAGCTGGATTCAAATTAAGATTACCGGTATATTAAAATAATAAAAATGTATTATAAACCTGTCTGACATACCGTAAAAGAGATTTATACCCCTGTAATAAACACAGCTATCATCACACACCCCTCCCCACGCCCCCCCCCCATTTGCCAGTGAGGAGACAAGAAAGGGAAAGTGACCCGAGATTGGGCTATTTTTAGCCGTGGAGGTGGTCAGTAATGCATACCGGTATCGGTATATTTACTCATAATAATATTTATCTCCTATAAATAATTGATTTAAATTTTATTTTTTTACAAAGAATATTCAGTAAATGAGTGCATTAATTCTTGAAACTATCGACGGTTAATTACAGACGCTCAAGTGACGTCACTAGTGTTTACACTACACCAGCTGGTAATATTTGATGCCATTACTTGAAGTGAATTGGCCTTATTTTAAGTAACTAACTATAAATAAATACAAAAATTAAAAAAAAAGATCAAAACTGAGAAATAATATACTGTATGTATGTTGTGTTGTCAAAGTAAGAGGAACAATTGTGTAAGTACGTAATATTTTTTCACTCAAATCCTAATGAAACACTACTGGAGAACATTCCTTTGTCGCAAAACAGTTTATAAATTAAAGAAAATAATTACAGTGTGTTTAATATATTACAGTATATTATAAATAAATAAATAAAACAAATAATTCGGTAAATCTATTTAAAGTAAATGGAAAATAAGCAAACATGTTATTTACCAAGACGCTTCTTTCTGGCTCAGGGTGAGATGGAGGGGAGATAACAAGGCTATTTATAGCTTCAGTGACGTCACTAGTGTTTACACTACACCAGCGGGTATAATTTGATGACATTACTTGAAGTGAATTGGCCTTATTTAAAAAAATCAAGGATGGTTGGTAAAGGACTACTGAGTCAGTGGGTAAGTGTCACATTTGGGGTACTGGTCTTATACAGCAAATAGAGCTCAAAAGCTACTTTTTAAATGGAAATTTGGGGGGGGCGTCTTATGCACCCCGCCGCCTTATAGGCCGTGATATACGGTACATTTTTAATCAACTTATGTTTTGATTTCATAAAATACCATTTTCTAAAATGAATTATACACCAAAAAAGACAAAAGAATCTCAGCTTTTCTATAGTACCATAAAAAAATTGCTAAGGTAATTAATTAGATTATAATGGATTTTAGAATATAAAAGGTGGTCGAAAAACAGATTTTACCCATATTATTTACTACGTATTTCATTCCGAGTCATTTACCATCTTCAAAAGAATTAGTTTTGTAAGATTTTATTTGCTGAATGTTTAGTTCAGGTCTTGAGAGAGCTTATGGTGATGTTAGAATTTATGTCCAATGCATATTGTAATTTCATGTGAATTTATAAAAAAAAGTACATTGTGAGCTGAAATCCAGTCAGCTGGCATTAACTATGGAACACTTATCTTCTACACTAGATATTATCTATTTATAAAAGTATATGCAATGTTTATAGAGCTTGATCTTATGCTAAATTTTCCTCAGATTCAAATGCTGTTATCTAGTCCCCTATTACTATTGCTATCACTATCACTGTTAGCTAAAGCAGCCAGAAGATGACAGAAGATGACAAGGAAAATGAATTGGATGGATTTTAATGAAAATATTCAGAAATATGGTATCGTAGTATTTATTCAAGTCAATTAGGATAGAATATTATTGTAATACAACGGTTTTTTAACTGAAAACCAATCGAAAAGCGATTACGGTAACATCTTTTGAATCGAAAAGCGATTACGGTAACATCTTTTGAATGAACGAAAGCGAAAGTCATTGTTTTCGTCACGATTTTATCGCACTTTCCACTGTAATACGTATGTGATTTCAGCAAAAATATTACATTTCCGTGAATGTATTATATCAAGCACAGTATGAATAGAATACCATTGTAATATAACAGTATTTTAACCATAAACTATTAAAAAAAACGAGTAACTTCTCTTGAACATTGGAAGGTTAGGTAAAATCATGTTTTCGTCATGTATTTTATCCTATTTTACATTAAAATACATCACGTTTCAGCAAAACTACTATTTATTTCCGAGAATATATTCATTCAGGCGCAGTTTAGGTAAAATATACGTGTGATGTAACAGCTTTTTAACTGAAAACGATTTGAAAAACACGTGTACCGTCAAGCTGATTGATACTCAGCAGCTGGTGGTGCGTCATGCGTCGTTGTAAACAATAGGAGGTTGAAGTAGATTACCGGGTATTATAGTGCGTGTGAAATATCGAAAAGGTTTTTATTACCGGTATTTTTTGTAGATCAATGAGTACTGTGATAACGTATATGATATGATAAGTTAGCCTACGCTAAGAACTTCAACATAGACTACTGAAAACACGTTGTAAGGTAATTTAGCCTATTGAAAGTTGGTGAGCTTCATTTGCTGAAGGAACTGCACAACTTTTCATTACTAATTGGTACATATTTTACGTTTCCATTGTTTACTGGCAGTAAA